ATCGGTAAATGGGTGATTTCTTGTACTCACTCAATAGACAAAATGGAGTTCTAGTGAAATAGATATGATTTTTGTTGACTGGTAAATCAGATTTGACCGATAATAGGGCTCAAAGTGGGCGAAATCGCTGATGCGTAAACATCGTCGAGACCGCTAACTTTGCGAGAGCATAATTCCGTCAGTTTTCCATCAAAATTTAGATTTTTGGTGTCATTATGATTGGGAAAGGATTCTCTATCATTTCATAAGTTTTTTTTTTTTTTTTTTTTTTTTTTTTTGAAAAATTTCTGACCCTGAGAACAAGTTTAGGAGAGGGGCCTGCCGACCCTGAAAGGGTTAATAGATTTCAAAGCACATGAAACAACTTCCCTTGGATGAAACAAAAGGATAACCAAGAAAAATAAAAAGGCACGATACTGTGACTATAACAATTCACAAACAACCTGCTTATAGGAGAAAGAAACTTTTGGCAATGTTTTGGACAGAAAGAAACTGATGATGACCAAAACGTTGTCATAACTTTCTCCTGTGTGTGTTATTTGTGTATAACCAAAAACAATGTGTCGTAGCAGTAGGCCTTCATCTGAAAACCCTGCCACTTTAATTCCAAGCACAGGTGCTCCTTGACTTATGATGGTTCAGCTTACAATATTTTAACTTTACGATGGTGCAAAAGAAATTGCTCTGGGGATGAAACCTAAGATAATTATGCGGCATGAAGGCAGCACATCCGTAACTTATATACATTTTTTACTTTTCAATACAGTGGACCCCCCGCTTAACGATCACCTCCCAATGTGACCAATTATGTAAGTGTATTTATGTAAGTGCGTTTGTACGTGTATGTTTGGGGATCTGAAATGGACTAATCTACTTCACAATACAGTGGACCCCCGGTTAACGATATTTTTTCACTCCAGAAGTATGTTCAGGTGCCAGTACTGACCGAATTTGTTCCCATAAGGAATATTGGGAAGTAGATTAGTCCATTTCAGACCCCCAAACATACACGTACAAACGCACTTACATAAATACACTTACATAATTGGTCGCATTCGGAGGTGATCGTTATGCGGGGGTCCACTGTATTCCTTATGGGAACAAATTCGGTCAGTACTGGCACCTGAACATGCTTCTGGAATGAAAAAATATCATTAACCAGGGGTCCACTGTATTGGTACGTATTTAGTTACAATAATTATTTTGGGAGATGTTAAGTGAATGTATAGGAGCCTTTGAACCAAGTGAGAGAGTAATTGTGGTAGGGGACTTGAATGCTAAAGTAGGAGAAACTTTTAGAGAGGGTGTGGTAGGTAAGTTTGGGGTGCCAGGTGTAAATGATAATGGGAGCCCTTTGATTGAACTTTGTATAGAAAGGGGTTTAGTTATAGGTAATACATATTTTAAGAAAAAGAGGATAAATAAGTATACATGATATGATGTAGGGCGAAATGACAGTAGTTTGTTGGATTATGTATTGGTAGATAAAAGACTGTTGAGTAGACTTCAGATGTACATGTTTATAGAGGGCCACAGATATCAACCCACTTTCTAGTTGTAGCTACACTGAGAGTAAAAGGTAGATGGGATACAAGGAGAATAGAAGCATCAGGGAAGAGAGAGGTGAAGGTTTATAAACTAAAAGAGGAGGCAGTTAGGGTAAGATATAAACAGCTATTGGAGGATAGATGGGCTAATGAGAGCATAGGCAATGGGGTCGAAGAGGTATGGGGTAGGTTTAAAAATGTAGTGTTAGAGTGTTCAGCAGAAGTTTGTGGTTACAGGAAAGTGGGTGCAGGAGGGAAGAGGAGCGATTGGTGGAATGATGAGTAAAGAGAGTAGTAAGGGAGAAAAAGTTAGCATATGAGAAGTTTTTACAAAGTAGAAGTGATGCAAGGAGGGAAGAGTATATGGAGAAAAAGAGAGAAGTTAAGAGAGGGGTGAAGCAATGTAAAAAGAGAGCAAATGAGAGAGGGGTGAGATGTTATCAACAAATTTTGTTGAAAATAAGAAAAAGTTTTGGAGTGAGATTAACAAGTTAAGAAAGCCTAGAGAACAAATGGATTTGTCAGTTAAAAATAGGAGAGGAGAGTTATTAAATGGAGAGTTAGAGGTATTGGGAAGATGGAAGGAATATTTTGAGGAATTGTTAAATGTTGATGAAGATAGGGAAGCTGTGATTTCGTGTATAGGGCAAGGAGGAATAACATCTTGTAGGAGGTGAGGAAGAGCCAGTTGTGAGTGTGGGGGAAGTTCTGAGGCAGTAGGTAAAATGAAAGGGGTAAGGCAGCCGGGATTGATGGGATAAAGATAGAAATGTTAAAAGCAGGTGGGGATATAGTTTTGGAGTGGTTGGTGCAATTATTTAATAAATGTATGGAAGAGGTAAGGTACCTAGGATTGGCAGAGAGCATGCATAGTTCCTTGTATAAAGGCAAAGGGGATAAAAAGAGAGTGCAAAAATTATAGGGGGATAAGTCTGTTGAGTGTACCTGGTAAAGTGTATGGTAGAGTTATAATTGAAGAATTAAGAGTAAGACGGAGAATAGGATAGCAGATGAACAAGGAGGCTTTAGGAAAGGTAGGGGGTGTGTGGACCAGGTGTTTACAGTGAAACATAAAGTGAACAGTATTTAGATAAGGCAAAGAGGTCTTTGTGGCATTTATGGATTTGGAAAAGGCGTATGACAGGGTGGATAGGGGGCAATGTGCAGATGTTGCAAGTGTATGGTGTAGGAGGTAGGTTACTGAAAGCAGTGAAGAGTTTTTACGAGGATAGTGAGGCTCAAGTTAGAGTATGTGGGAAAGAGGGAAATTTTTTCCCAGTAAAAGTAGGCCTTAGACAAGGATGTGTGATGTCACCGTGGTTGTTTAATATATTTATAGATGGGGTTGTAAGAGAAGTAAATGCGAGGGTCTTGGCAAGAGGCGTGGAGTTAAAAGATAAAGAATCACACACAAAGTGGGAGTTGTCACAGCTGCTCTTTGCTGATGACACTGTGCTCTTGGGAGATTCTGAAGAGAAGTTGCAGAGATTGGTGGGTGAATTTGGTAGGGGTGGGAAAAGAAGAAAATTAAAGGTGAATACAGGAAAGAGTAAGGTTATGAGGATAACAAAAAGATTAGGTGATGAAAGATTGAATATCAGATTGGAGGGAGAGAGTATGGAGGAGGTGAAACGTATTCAGATATTTGGGAGTGGACGTGTCAGCGGATGGGTCTAAGAAAGATGAGGTGAATCATAGAATTGATGAGGGAAAAGAGTGAGTGGTGCACTTAGGAGTCTGTGGAGACAAAGAACTTTGTCCTTGGAGGCAAAGAGGGGAATGTATGAGAGTATAGTTTTTACCAACGCTCTTATATGGGTGTGAAGCGTGGGTGATGAATGTTGCAGCGAGGAGAAGGCTGGAGGCAGTGGAGATGTCATGTCCTGAGGGCAATGTGTGGTGTGAATATAATGCAGAGAATTTGTAGTTTGGAAGTTAGGAGGAGGTGTGGGATTACCAAACTGTTGTCCAGAGGCTGAGGAAGGGGTTGTTGAGGTGGTTCGGACATGTAGAGAGAATGGAGCGAAACAGAATGACTTCAAGAGTGTATCAGTCTGTAGTGGAGGAAGGCGGGTAGGGGTCGGCCTAGAAGGGTTGGAGGGAGGGGGAAAGGAGGTTTTGTGTGCGAGGGGCTTGGACTTCCAGCAGCATGCGTGAGCGTGTTTGATAGGAGTGAATGGAGACAAATGTTTTTAATACTTGACGTGCTGTTGAGTGTGAGCAAAGTAACATTTATGAAGGGAATCAGGGAAACCGGCAGGCCAGACTTGAGTCCTGGAGATGGGAAGTACAGTGCCTGCACTCTGAAGGAGGGGTGTTAATGTTGCAGTTTAAAAACTGTAGTGTAAAGCACCCTTCTGGCAAGACAGTGATGGAGTGAATGATGGTGAAAGTTTTTCTTTTTCGGGCCACCCTGCCTTGGTGGGAATCGGCCGGTGTGATAATAAAAAAAAATAAAAAATTATTTGTTTATTTACTTGTTCAGTGACAGTTATTTATTTATTTATTTATTTAGTATATCATATTCTTATTTGACTCACAATATTTTTTATTTGTAACGTAACCCTAAGTCAAAGAGCACCTGTACCCTAGTAATCCTGACAGTCTTCAGTTTCTAGACCTTGGTGATTAGCTATACAGTTTACCACTGTGGGAGTGATCATACTGCAACATTCTTTGTAATTGCTGTATTTAATAAACCTGTTTCATTTATACTTATGTTTCAGGTTTCAGTAGACCATGGCAGGTCATATGTGTATTGTGAATTATTATTATGTAACTTATATTGTTCTAGCAAAATTGTTATATCGACTAGGCCTAAGACTCAAGGGTGCCAGAAAATTGGTGTTGTTCCTGTATAAAATTATTGTGCTGAATAGTACTGTACTGTAGTAATGTAGGTTACATTAACAGTATTCTTAGTGTCCGGTTGTCATTTGCATCTAATCCAAGTCCGCTAGTTCACAAGACAACCGGATGATTGTGAAAAATTAATTACATAGTTTGGAAGTTTCAGACAATTAGCACTCTCATACTCCTGCCCTCCATCAGTCCATTAATGAGAGGATTCACTGTACAGGTCAAAATCCACCGGGTCAATTTATTGAGCAATGCTAGTCTAGGTTCATTATTTACAGAATTAACCATTATTGTTGCTATCACGGCAGATCAGTCCTGTCTCTTTCCACCATAGTCATCATTTCCAGCTACCTGCTCCCCTGTATTATTCATTTAAATTGAGAATTTAATTTGTTGTCTTAAACCCAAAAAAAGAAACACTTTCACCATCATTCACACATAATCACTGTCTTTGCAGAGGTGCCCAGATATGACAGTTTAGATGTCACTTCAAACAGCCAATATCCCAAACCTCTCCTTTAATGTGCAGGCATTGTACTTCCCATCTCCAGGACTCAAGTCCAGCTTACATTTTAATGTTTGATTTATACACAGTATATCACCGCCTTCATAGTCAACTAACAGCCTTCGAGGGAGATGAAGACAAAACATCAGTGATCAGTGAACGTGATGAAGACTTAAGCACACTCCCTGATAATATGGACCTAGCAGATGGCCCCATCCCTCCTCTCTTCCTTCATTTTACTTGTACTGTTCGAGTTGCTGGTCATGTACAGTCTACTATATCTGTGAAGACACTACCCACATGTCTCGGTAAGATTTGAGAAAGGCCACCATGACCTTGTTGTTTCGTAGTCTGAATTTGTCCTCTGTGGCAGTTATTTCTGATGTACAGTACACTGAATCTCAAAATCATTCTTGGTGCCATTCACAACTAACAATTGGAGAGGATATTTAGATGAGGCTTTGATGTGCCCTCCACCAATATCAAGTTGTCAACCCAAGATGCTGTCTAGAGTTTCCTCTCCAGCTATTGTTAGTTATGTTTTTCTCATGTTTAATTTAATCTCAGGTTGGTAGACAGCAACCACCCAGGGAAGTACTACCGTCCTGCCAGATGACTGTGAAACAAAAACCTGTAACTGTTTTGCATGATGGTAGGATTGCTGGTTTCTTTTTCTGTCTCATAAACACGCTAAGATAACAGGGATATCTTGCTACTCCTACTTACACTTTGGTCACACTTCATAGACACGCACATGCATATATATATATACATACATCTAGGTTTTTCTCCTTTTTCTAAATAGCTCTTGTTCTTTTTTATTTCTTCTATTGTCCATGGGGAAGTGGAAAAGAATCTTTCCTCCGTAAGCCATGCGTGTCGTATGAGGCGACTAAAATGCCGGGAGCAATGGGCTAGTAACCCCTTCTCCTGTATACAATTACTAAAAAAGAGAAGAAGAAAAACTTTATAAAACTGGTGCTTAAAAAGTGCGTGGATGTAGTGCGGATGACAGAAACAGATGATTGGGTGATGTTATGAATGAAAAGAAGTTGGATGTCCTGGCCCTAACGAAACAAAAGCTGAAGGGGGTAGGAGAGTTTCAGTGGGGGAAATAAATGGGATTAAATCTGGAGTATCTGAGAGAGTTAGAGCAAAGGAAGGGGTAGCAGTAATGTTAAATGATCAGTTATGGAAGGAGAAAAGAGAATATGAATGTGTAAATTCAAGAATTATGTGGATTAAAGTAAAGGTTGGATGCGAGAAGTGGGTCATAATAAGCGTGTATGCACCTGGAGAAGAGAGGAAATGCAGAGAGAGAGGGGAGATTTTGGGGGATTTAAGTGAATGTATAGAGCCTTTGAACCAAGTGAGAGAGTAATTTGAGGTAGGGGACTTGAATGCTAAAGTAGGAGAAACTTTTAGAGAGGGTGTGGTAGGTAAGTTTGGGGTGCCAGGTGTAAATGATAATGGAGCCCTTTGATTGAACTTTGTATAGAAAGGGTTTAGTTATAGGTAATACATATTTTAAGAAAAAGAGGATAAATACGTATACACGATATGATGTAGGGCGAAATGACAGTAGTTTGTTGGATTAATGTATTGGTAGATAAAGACTGTTGAGTAACTTCAGGATGTACATGTTTATAGAGGGGCCACAGATATATCAGATCACTTTCTAGTTGTAGCTACACTGAGAGTAAAAGGTAGATGGGATACAAGGAGAATAGAAGCATCAGGGAAGAGAGAGGTAAAGGTTTATAAACTAAAAGAGGAGGCAGTTAGGGTAAGATATAAACAGCTATTGGAGGATAGATGGCTAATGAGAGCATAGCAATGGGGTCGAAGAGGTATGGGGTAGGTTTAAAAATGTAGTGTTAGAGTGTTCAGCAGAAGTTTGTGGTTACAGGAAAGTGGGTGCAGGAGGGAAAGGAGCGATTGGTGGAATGATGAGTAAAGAGAGTAGTAAGGGAGAAAAAGTTAGCATATGAGAAATTTTTACAAAGTAAAGTGATGCAAGGAGGGAAGAGTATATGGAAAAAAGAGAGAAGTTAAGAGAGTGGTGAAGCAATGTAAAAAGAGAGCAAATGAGAGAGTGGGTGAGATGTTATCAACAATTTGTTGAAAATAAGAAAAAGTTTTGGAGTGAGATTAACAAGTTAAGAAAGCCTAGAGAACAAATGGATTTGTCTGTTAAAAATAGGAGAGGAGAGTTATTAAATGGAGAGTTAGAGGTATTGGGAAGATGGAAGGAATATATTTGAGGAATTGTTTAAATGTTGATGAAGATAGGGAAGCTGTGATTTCGTGTATAGGCAAGGAGGAATAACATCTTGTAGGAGTGAGGAAGAGCCAGTTGTGATGATGGGGGAAGTTCGTGAGGCAGTAGGTAAAATGAAAGGGGTAAGGCAGCGGATTGATGGGATAAAGATAGAAATGTTAAAAAGCAGGTGGGGATGTAGTTTTGGAGTGGTTTGGTGCAATTATTAATAAATGTATGGAGAGGGTAAGGTACCTAGGGATTGGCAGAGAGCATGCATAGTTCCTTGTATAAAGGCAAAGGGGATAAAAGAGAGTGCAAAAAATTATAGGGGGATAAGTCTGTTGAGTGTACCTGGTAAAGTGTATGGTAGAGTTATAATTGAAAGAATTAAGGTAAGACGGAGAATAGATAGCAGAGAACAAGGAGGCTTTAGGAAAGGTAGGGGGTGGTGGACCAGGTGTTACAGTGAAACATATAAGTGAACAGTATTTAGATAGGCAAAAGAGGTCTTTGTGGCATTTATGATTTGGAAAAGGCGTATGACAGGTGGATAGGGGGGCAATGTGGCAGATGTTGCAAGTGTATGGTGTAGGAGGTAGGTTACTGAAAGCAGTGAGAGTTTATTTACGAGGATAGTGAGGCTCAAGTTAGAGTATGTAGGAAAGAGGGAAATTTTTTCCCAGTAAAAGTAGGCCTTAGACAAGGATGTGTGATGTCACCGTGGTTGTTTAATATATTTATAGATGGGGTTGTAAGAGAAGTAAATGCGAGGGTCTTGGCAAGAGGCGTGGAGTTAAAAGATAAAAAATCACACACAAGTGGGAGTTGTCACAGCTGCTCTTTGCTGATGACACTGTGCTCTTGGGAGATTCTGAAGAGAAGTTGCAGAGATTGGTGGATGAATTTGGTAGGGTGTGCAAAAGAAGAAAATTAAAGGTGAATACAGGAAAGAGTAAGGTTATGAGGATAACAAAAAGATTAGGTGATGAAAGATTGAATATCAGATTGGGGGGAGAGAGTATGGAGGAGGTGAACGTATTCAGATATTTGGGAGTGGACGTGTCAGCGGATGGGTCTAATGAAAGATGAGGTGAATCATAGAATTGATGAGGGAAAAAGAGTGAGTGGTGCACTTAGGAGTCTGTGGAGACAAAGAACTTTGTCCTTGGAGGCAAAGAGGGGAATGTATGAGAGTATAGTTTTAAACCCAAAGCTCTTATATGGGTGTGAAGCGAGGTGTGATGAATGTTGCAGCGAGGAGAAGGCTGGAGGCAGTGGAGATGTCATGTCTGAGGGGAATGTGTGGTGTGAATATAATGCAGAGAATTCGTAGTTTGGAAGTTAGGAGGAGGTGCGGGATTACCAAAACTGTTGTCCAGAGGGCTGAGGAAGGGTTGTTGAGGTGGTTCGGACATGTAGAGAGAAAGGAGCGAAACAGAATGACTTCAAGAGTGTATCAGTCTGTAGTGGAAGGAAGGCGGGGTAGGGGTCGGCCTAGGAAGGGTTGGAGGAGGGGGTAAAGGAGGTTTTGTGTGCGAGGGCTTGGACTTCCAGCAGGCATGCGTGAGCGTGTTTGATAGGAGTGAATGGAGACAAATGGTTTTTAATACTTGACGTGCTGTTGGAGTGTGAGCAAAGTAACATTTATGAAGGGATTCAGGGAAACCGGCAGGCCGGACTTGAGTCCTGGAGATGGGAAGTACAGTGCCTGCACTCTGAAGGAGGGGTGTTAATGTTGCAGTTTAAAAACTGTAGTGTAAAGCACCCTTCTGGCAAGACAGTGATGGAGTGAATGATGGTGAAAGTTTTTCTTTTTCGGGCCACCCTGCCTTGGTGGGAATCGGCCGGTGTGATAATAAAATAAAAATATTGTTTTCCAAAGAACTTTTTTCATATTATTGATAATTATTGAAAACTATAATAAATTTTTTCCATTTGTGCTTTAATTTTATTAGTAAATTTGTTCAGTCTTATAATTAGTAAATATTAGTGAATAGTTTATGATATTTTTTGAGGAAAAAATTGTAGACTTTATTTTTCATTACATTGATTTGTTTTGTAGAGTTAAATTTTGATCTAACCTGCTGATGTTTTATTCAGTATTTTACAAAGTTATTGTATAATGCATTCATTCATGATGAATTAATTTCCTAAAAAGTTGCAGCACATCTTGACAAATATATTTTGTGTGACTCTGTATGTCTAAATATCAATACCACTAGTGAAAATAATAATCTAGGCTGAACCACAACTTGCCATGGGCCTACTCCAGCCTATATGTAACTGGACTTCCCACATGTTGGGTCACCACTAGTCTAGGAACTGATGGATTTTGCAGATGCTGGACCAGTTCCAACCCACATGCATAAGGTCCTGCATATCATGTCGGCAGTATGACCTATTAAGACCATCCTGTTTAAAATACTTGTACATAGTACAGAGGGAAATAATAAATGCTCACATTTTTGGGTCACGATGCCTTGGTAGGAAACGGTTGACATTTAAAAAAAAAAATAAGAAATGTCCAGTTGCAGTGAGGAGGAGGTTGGAGGCAGTAAAGATGTCATGTGTGAGGGGAATGTATGGTGTGAGTATTATACTGAAAATTTGGACTTTGGAGATTAGGTGTGGAGTCACCAAAAGTATTATGCAGAGGGCTGTGGAGGGATTGTTGAGGTGGTTTGGACATGTAAAGAGGATGGAGAAAAATAGGATGTCCAGTAGGGTATATAAATCTGGTGGAGGGAACTAGGGGTAGGAGTCATCCTAGGAAAGGTTGGAGGTGTAGACGAATGGTTCAGAGAACCGACACGTTGATAAATTAGACACATATGCAATTCTTGGGTATCTTTATTGAGGAAACGTTTCGCCACACAGTGGCTTCATCAGTCCATACAAAGGAGAAATGGGAAGAACAGGAGGAGAATGAGGTAATCAGTCCCTCAATCTTGAGTAGAATACAGCATATCTGCGAAGTAGCTTATATAGTAGGCAGGAAAGGTGCAGCAGTCGTAGGTGGTGTCACATATGTCCAATGTGGAAGTAGGTTGTGCCCAAGGGTTAGGCAAGCGAAGAATTCCCAAGTATTAAGATCCCAAGAAGTTGCAGTGTCTGACAGGATTGTCGATGAATGGTTCAGAGAGCCGACATGTTGATAAATTAGACACATGTGCAACTCTTGGCTATCTTTATTGAGGAAACGTTTCGCCACACAGTGGCTTCAACAGTCCATACAAAGGAGAAGTGAGGATGTAGCAGTTTGGAGGGTTATCTGATGTTGGTGCCCTTCTGACAAGGCAGTGATTAAACGAGTGACAGTGAAAGTGTTTTCTTCTTTGTCAGGTCACCCAACCTCGGTGGAAGATGGCCGGAATGTTAAAAAATATTTGTGTGTGATTTAGCCAGAAATACTAAAGAGGATGATGTTGGAAGAAACCATGTATAAATGCATACTTGAAATTGTACTAATGTTCACTTAGCTACCTCCCTTTTGCACATTAAAAAAACTATGTCTGGTTCTTAAGTAGTGTGTAAGCATGAGTATTAGTCTGCCTGAAATGCTCTTCATTCTAGTGACTTTCTTTTGTGCTTGGCAGTATTTTATTACATGTAAGGTAGACTGCCTTATCTGTGGGTCTAGTTTCCGTGGTTTCAGTTATCCTCGGTTTACCCTGGCCTGAAAATAACCCTTAATTTGCTTAATAATGGCTCCCTAGTGCAAAAGCAGTGATGGTGGCAGTTCTTCAAAGTCTAAGAGAAGTCGTGAAGTGTTTCCCATCAGTGAAAAAGTGCTAATTATTGTGCGTAATTTATCGTTAACCTTTATCATATGTATGTATGTATGTAAAGAAAAAACTACTTATACAGTGGAACCTTGGCTTACAAGTTTAATCCGTTCCGTAACCTTGCTCATATCCTGATCTGCTTGTATGCTGAGTCAATTTTCCTCATTTAAATTAATTGAAATGCCATTAATCCGTTCCAGCAGAATTCTTGCTCTTGGGAGACAGGACAAAAATACTTCAGTATGGCGCTAATATCAACTCTAATGCTTATTTATCTGTCACAATTCATCTGATTTAACCCTTAAACTGTCCAAATGTATATATACGTTCTCTCGCGTAGCGCCCCGAGTCTTTTGAGAAAAAAAAATCTTTTTTTTTAATAGGAAAAAAGAGCATATGGTACCCAGGCGTCCCCAGTTTTTTTCATATGGCGCACAGTGAGTGCGCACACCCATTCTCTCATGTCTAGGCGACTCAGGCTTATTGTGCCAATGTTGAATGAATGACAAAGAAAACGTATATATACGTTTGGGGCACTACGCGAGAGAATGTATATATACTTTTGGACCATTTAAGTATTAACATAATAAACAATATAATTAACATAGAAACATGATATATACTCCAGAATGAATACACTAGGCCATAATATGGTGAGTGGTGGCAGTGGCATTCATTCCCTCTCCTTCTCTGACTATATCTTCCCATGCTTTTATTATAAGAGAAAATGGAGTGTTTGTGAGGCTAACTACACTAGTTTCATAAATAAGAAATATTGTATGAAAACATAATAGAGAATGTAAAGAAATAAAGTGGTTTTATAAAGTGTACGTATACTGGTGGAGGTGGAGAGTGGAAGATAGGCTACTTTCTACTAGCTCCTGCTGCCATGGACATCATCCTCTTTTTCTTCTCAGCACTGTCCTTTGCACTTACTTTCTTAGAACCCATAGTTAGAAAAAAGACATTTGGCAATAATAACACAAGAAATGCTTCCACGGTGAAATAAACACATTGCACAACTCAACTGATGTTGTGGCGTTGGCTGTGTCACCTAGTGGTGGTGGTCTGCAATTCGCTCATTATTATTATTATTTTTAATTTATGGAACTGGAGCACAGATCCAATTCCCTAGATCAAGAGCCCCTCACCAGCGTCAAGGAACCTCCCTTGAGGGGTGAGCTCGCATCCTAAATTTTTGCTCATATCCAGAAACAAAAAATCGACCGAGTGACTGCTCATATCCTGAAAAACTTATATGGTGGGGCACTCATAAGCCGAAGTTCAACTGTATGTAGGTTTCGCTACTATCTGCAGTTTTGGGCATCTGCAGCAAGTCTTGGAACATATCCCCCACAGATACGGGAGTCCTACTGTAAACTATGTTTTGTAACACTACAGAAAGAAATTACAGTGGACCCCCGGTTAACGATATTTTTTCACTCCAGAAGTATGTTTAGGTGCCAGTACCGACCGAATTTGTTCCCATAAGAAATATTGTGAAGTAGATTAGTCCATTTCAGACCCCCAAACATACACGTACAAACGCACTTACATAAATACACTTACATAATTGGTCACATTCGGAGGTAATCGTTATGCGGGGGTCCACTGTAGTTTGTTTGATTGGTAACTGTGTTTTATGATAACAGATGAAATTGTGGATTCACTGAGGGGCAGCGAAGTGGATCTTTCCCTGGTCAGTGTGACACTGGATGTCTTGTGTATGACACTGCCTCCTACCTTAGCCACCAAGACAACGGGAGAGTCGCTCACGTTCATGACTGACTCAAGATCGGCTCGCACGACCAGCTTTTGCTCTATATCATCATTGCACCCAAAACGAGCAAGGTCCATATCAGAGTCTACCTGTGCTTCATTATCAGATATGGATGAATCGTAAGTTAAATCTCACTTTGTTTTAGCAATTTCAGTTATAATTCTTCTTGTAATGGAGAGAGCAAATGGATGAGGAGTGTGTTATATTTACGTAGTTATTTTTTGTAGATTATATCATATTTATATCTTAAATTGTTTTGTGCGTATGTGTGTGTGTGTGTGTGTGTGTGTGTGTGTGTGTGTGTGTGTGTGTGTGTGTGTGTGTGTGTGTGTGTGTGTGTGTGTGTGTGCATGCGTGCATGTGCAAGTGATTCTCTCACATGCACAGAGAGAGGGAGGGAATGGAATGGCAAGAAGTATATCTTACTTTTATAAGAGTTAATTCTACAGTTTGTTTTGTTGTCCAGGTACCTGGAAAATGAAGACCAACTTGGTCACCTTCCCAATTACCAGCATCAAGCCATCGTATCTACTGTTGACGAGGTTAGTAAGTCTGCTGAGTTGGATGACAGTAATGTTATGGCTGTTGTAGCTCTGCAGGCTACTAGTACCAACAGCCTGGTTGACCAGCCACCCAACCTTGTACTAACAACTGCCCTGTTTTTGCATCATAAATATGGTGAAGGGATTACATTTATGAAGGGATTCAGAGGAACTGGTTAGCCAGACTTGAGTCTGGTTAACCAGTTCCTGGCTATCTCTACCCATCCTTCAGAGTGCCTGCACTCTAAAGGAGGGGTGGAGATAGTGCAGTTTGGAGGGGCATCTAAATTGTAGTTTCTGCATGCCTCTGGCAAGACGGTGATAGAGTGAATGATGGTGGAAATATTTCTTCTTTTTTTGGGTCACCCTACCTTGGTAGGAGATAGCCAGTGCATTAATAATAATAATAATAATAATACCTAGGTAGTAGGTTGGTAAACAGCAACCGCCCAGGGAGGTACTACCGTCCTGCCAAGTGAGTGTACAACGAAAACCTGTAATTGTTTTACATGATGGTAGGATTGCTGGTGTCTTTTGTCTGTCTCATAAACATGCAAGATTTCAGGTACGTCTTGCTACTTCTACTTGCACTTAGGTCACACTACACATACACGTACAAGCATATATTTACACACCCCTCTAGGTATTCTTCTATTTTCTTTCTAGTTCTTGTTCTTGTTTATTTCCTCTTATCTCCATGGGGAAGTGGAACAGAATTCTTCCTCCGTAAGATATGTGTGTTGTAAGAGGCGACTGCCGGGAACAAGGGGCTAGTAACCCCTTCTCCCGTGTAAATTACTAAATTTAAGAGAAACTTTCGTTTTTCTTTTTGGGCCACCCTGCCTTGGTGGGATACGGCCGGTGTGTTGAAAGAAAGAATTAGAATAATAATTTTGCACAGTGCCTGCACTCTGAAGGAGGGGTGGGGTTATTTGAAATTTTGAAATGCAGTATCAGCACCCCTCTGGCAAGACAGTGATAGAGTGAATGTTGGTGAAAGTGTTTTCTCTTTGTTTGGGTCACCCTGCCTTGGTGGGAGACGGCCGGTTTGCTAAAACAAAAAATAATGGTTTTATTGCATTTCAGATAAAGTGGCTTTTACGTGATGAAATATCATCGGCCATGCTACACATGTATCCTTTAACTGAGCAGACACTGGATATGGTCGCCACCCATGTGGAGAGTTCACGACAAGCTCGCAACTGTATCTCTGAGTCCATCCCCCTCAACTTTGTCTGTGGCATGGAACAAAGCAGAGACAAATTTATGCAAGTATGTTCAAAAATAATTTGTAGGAATTAGTTTATTTTTTCTGTGGTATGCAAAATGTAGTTTACAAGTAATAAAGTATTGTTAAGTACAAAGACAGCCACTAACATGCACAACTTTTTGGATACTTCACACTTCAGTAATGTTAAGTAAAAGGACACAAGTGCAACTAATGTGACATTTTATTGGGGCAACATTTCACTCTCCAGGAGCTTTGTCAAGCCATTATTGCTTGACAAAGCTCCTGGAGAGTGAAACATTGCCACAGTAAAATGTCACAGTTGCACTTGTGTCCTTTTACTTAACATAATGTCAGTAATTTTACCAGCACTAATACACTTCAGTAATATGTGTAAGTTTTGTCTGCTTCCAATGATTTGTGGATTCCTCAGCATTTTGAGAACAGACTTTGTCATTGTGATAAATAATCTCCATATAGAATACTGACTCAGCTTTTAACCCTTTCACTTTTGGCCCTGTAATATTACGGCTTGCAAGCCAGCGTCTATCCCGTAATACATACTATGCCAAAATTCTAGTGGCTTCCAATCTTGCGGGACATAGCTGGTAGGCCTACATATGAGAGAATGGTCTGAGTCATCATTGTGCTCAGTATGAAGAAAATCCTGCAGCATGCAGTGCATAATGAAAAAAATGCGACTTTTTGGTTGAAAATAGCGACTTTGTAGTATATTTTCGTAGGGTATTTATGGTTTTATTCTCATTTTCTTGGTCTCATTTAATAGAATGGAAGATATATTACAGAAATAAAAATGATTTTCAATGGTTTACGTAATAAAAGTACCTTGAAATTGAGCTCAAAGTAGCAGAAATGTTCGATTTTTGCTGATGCTCAAGAGTAAACATATCATGTCACTTGTCCAATACATGTCAACTGGTGGGTCTAATATGCTTACACAAATGCACTGATATTACTTATACCATTTTATAATAATGCAATAGCCTGCATAACAGTAAATCTTCTATTTTTTTTTGTGTGAATAAAAATTCAAAATGAAAAGCAAGCATAATATAAGAGGGTCCTGGAGACATGACTAAGGAACAGAGAAAATGTTATTTTAGTGCTAGGAATGTTTGCACTGTTAATTCTGGACCCTATTTTGAAATTGAAGTTTGTGGTTACAGGAAAGTGGGTGCGGGAGGGAAGAGAAGCGATTGGTGGAATGATGATGTAAAGAGAGTAGTAAGGGAGAAAAAGTTAGCATATGAGAAGTTTTTACAAAGTAGAAGTGATGCAAGGAGGAAAGAGTATATGGAGAAAAAGAGAGAGGTTAAGAGACTGGTGAAGCAATGTAAAAAAAGAGCAAATGAGAGAGTGGGTGAGATGTTATCAACAAATTTTGTTGAAAATAAGAAAAAGTTTTGGAGTGAGATTAACAAGTTAAGGAAGCCTAGAGAACAGTTAAAAATAGGAGAGGAGAGTTATTAAATGGAGAGTTAGAGGTACTGGGAAGATGGAGGGAATATTTTGAGGAATTGTTAAATGTTGATGAAGATAGGGAAGCTGTGATTTCATGTATAGGGCAAGGAGGAATAACATCTTGTAGGAGTGAGGAAGAGTCAGTTGTGAGTGTGGGGGAAGTTCGTGAGGCAGTAGGTAAAATGAAAGGGGGTAAGGCAGCTGGGATTGATGGGATAAAGATAGAAATTTTAAAAGCAGGTGGGGATATAGTTTTGGAGTGGTTGGTGTTATTATTTAATAAATGTATGGAAGAGGGTAAGGTACCTAGGGATTGGCAAAGGGGACAAAAGAGAGTGCAAAAATTATAGGGGGATAAGTCTGTTAAGGAAGAAAGGGAGGCGGTAATTTCATGCACTGGCCAGGGAGGTATACCATCTTTTAGGAGTGAAGAAGAGCAGAATGTAAGTGTGGTGGAGGTACGTGAGGCATTACGTAGAATGAAAGGGGGTAAAGCAGCTGGAACTGATGGGATCATGACAGAAATGTTAAAAGCAGGGGGGGATATAGTGTTGGAGTGGTTGGTACTTTTGTTTAATAAATGTATGAAAGAGGGGAAGGTACCTAGGGATTGGCGGAGAGCATGTATAGTCCCTTTATATAAAGGGAAAGGGGACAAAAGAGATTGTAAAAATTATAGAGGAATAAGTTTACTGAGTATACCAGGAAAAGTATACGGTAGGGTTATAATTGAAAGAATTAGAGGTAAGACAGAATGTAGAATTGCGGACGAGCAAGGAGGTTTCAGAGTGGGTAGGGGATGTGTAGATCAAGTGTTTACATTGAAGCATATATGTGAACAGTATTTAGATAAAGGTAGGGAAGTTTTTATTGCATTTATGGATTTAGAAAAGGCATATGATAGAGTAGATAGAGGAGCAATGTGGCAGATGTTGCAAGTATATGGAATAGGTGGTAAGTTACTAAATGCTGTAAAGAGCTTTTATGAGGATAGTGAGGCTCAGGTTAGGGTGTGTAGAAGAGAGGGAGAATACTTCCCGGTAAAAGTAGGTCTTAGACAGGGATGTGTAATGTCACCATGGTTGTTTAATATATTTATAGATGGGTTGTAAAAGAAGTAAATGCTAGGGTGTTCGGGAGAGGGGTGGGATTAAATTATGGGGAATCAAATTCAAAATGGGAATTGACACAGTTACTTTTTGCTGATGATACTGTGCTTATGGGAGATTCTAAAGAAAAATTGCAAAGGTTAGTGGATGAGTTTGAGAATGTGTGTAAAGGTAGAAAGTTGAAAGTGAACATAGAAAAGAGTAAGGTGATGAGGGTATCAAATGATTTAGAGAAAGAAAAATTGGATATCAAATTGGGGAGGAGGAGTATGGAAGAAGTGAATGTTTTCAGATACTTGGGAGTTGACGTGTCGGCGGATGGATTTATGAAGGATGAGGTTAATCATAGAATTGATGAGGGAAAAAAGGTGAGTGGTGCGTTGAGGTATATGTGGAGTCAAAAAACGTTATCTATGGAGGCAAAGAAGGGAATGTATGAAAGTATAGTAGTACCAACACTCTTATATGGATGTGAAGCTTGGGTGGTAAATGCAGCAGCGAGGAGACGGTTGGAGGCAGTGGAGATGTCCTGTCTAAGGGCAATGTGTGGTGTAAATATTATGCAGAAAATTCGGAGTGTGGAAATTTGGGGAAGGTGTGGAGTTAATAAAAGCATTAGTCAGAGGGCAGAAGAGGGGTTGTTGAGGTGGTTTGGTCATTTAGAGAGAATGGATCAAAGTAGAATGACATGGAAAGCATATAAATCTATAGGGGAAGGAAAGAGGGGTAGGGGTCGTCCTCGAAAGGGTTGGAAAGAGGGGGTAAAGGAGGTTTTGTGGGTGAGGGGCTTGGACTTCCAGCTAGCATGCATGAGCGTGTTAGATAGGAGTGAATGGAGACGAATGATACTTGGGACCTGACGATCTGTTGGAGTGTGAGCAGGTTAATATTTAGTGAAGGAATTTAGGGAAACCGGTTATTTTCATATAGTCGGACTTGAGTCCTGGAAATGGGAAGTACAATGCCTGCAATTTAAAGGAGGGGTTTGGGATATTGGCAGTTTGGAGGGATATGTTGTGTATCTCTATACGTATATTCTTCTAAACTGTTATATTCTGAGCACCTCTGCAAAAGCAGTGATAATGTGTGAGTGTGGTGAAAGTGTTGAATGATGATGAAAGTATTTTCTTTTTGGGGATTTTCTTTCTTTTTTTGGGTCACCCTGCCTCGGTGGGAGACGGCCGACTTGTTGAAAAAAAAAAAAAAAAAAAAAAAAGTCTGTTGAGTATACCTGGTAAAGTGTATGGTAGAGTTATTATTGAAAGAATTAAGAGTAAGACGGAGAATAGGATAGCAGATGAACAAGGAGGCTTTAGGAATAGTAGGGGGTGTGCGGACCAGGTGTTTACAGTGAAACATATAAGTGAACAGTATTTAGATAAGGCTAAAGAGGTTTTTGTGGCATTTATGGATTTGGAAAAGGCGTATGACAGGGTGGATAGGGGGGCAATGTGGCAGATGTTGCAGGTGTATGGTATAGGAGGTAGGTTACTGAAAGCAGTGAAGAGTTTTTTATGAGGATAGTGAGGCTCAAGTTAGAGTATGTAGGAGAGAGGGAGATTATTTCCCAGTAAAAGTAGGCCTTAGACAAGGATGTGTGATGTCACCGTGGTTGTTTAATATATTTATAGATGGGATTGTAAGAGAAGCAAGTGCGAGGGTCTTGGCAAGAGGCATGGAGTTAAAAGATAAAGAATCACACATAAAGTGGGAGTTGTCACAGTTGCTCTTTGCTGATGACACTATGCTCTGGGGAGATTCTGAAGAGAAGTTGCAGAGGTTGGTGGATGAATTTGGTAGGGATGTAAAAGAAGAAAATTAAAAGTGAATACAGGAAAGAGTAAGGTTATGAGGATAACAAAAAGATTAGGTGATGAAAGATTGGATATCAGATTGGAGGGAGAGAGTATAGAGGAGGTGAATGTATTCAGATATTTGGGAGTGGATGTGTCAGCGGATGGGTCTATGAAAGATGAGGTGAATCATAGAATTGATGAGGGGAAAAGGGTGAGCGGTGCACTTAGGAGTCTGTGGAGACAAAGAACTTTGTCCTTGGAGGCAAAGAGGGGAATGTATGAGAGTATAGTTTTACCAACGCTCTTATATGGTTGTGAAGCATGGGTGATGAATGTTGCAGCAAGGAGAAGGCTGGAGGCGGTGGAGATGTCATGTCTGAGGGCAGTGTGTGGCATGAATATAATGCAGAGAATTCGTAGTTTGGAAGTTAGGAGGAGGTGTGGGATTGCCAAAACTGTTGTCCAGTGGGCTGAGTAAGGGTTGTTGAGGTGGTTCGGACATGTAGAGAGAATGGAGCTAAGCAGAATGACTTCAAGAGTGTATCAGTGTGTAGTGGAAGGAAGGCGGGGTAGGGGTCGGCCTAGGAAAACTTGGAGGGAGGGGGTAAAGGAGGTTTTGTGTGCGAGGGGCTTGGACTTCCAGCGGGCATGCGTGAGCGTGTTTGATAGGAGTGAATGGAGACAAATGGTTTTTAATACTTGACATGCTGCTGGAGTGTGAGCAAAGTAATATTTATGAAGGAATTCAGGGAAACCGGCAGGCTGGACTGGAGATGGGAAGTACAGTGCCTGCACTCTGAAGGAGGGGTGTTAATGTTGCAGTTTAAAAGCTGTAGTGTAAAGCACCCTTCTGGCAAGACTGTGATAGAGTGAATGATGGTGAAAGTTTTTCTTTTTCGGGCCACCCTGCCTTGGTGGGAATCGGCCAGTGTGCTAATAAAAAAAAAAAATTGAAATTGGCCTTGAACTTTGTATGAAATTGGCCAAATTGCCAATTTCTGAGCACTTTATTGGGTAGTTGAAATAGGTAAATGAGCAGTTTCTTGTACTCACTCGATAGAACAAAGGGAGTTTTAGCAACATAACTATGAGTTTGGTCAACTAGAACAATGAAATTGGCCGAAAATAGAGCTCAAAGTGGGCAAAATCACTGATGCGTAAATATCGCTGAGACTGCTAACTTTGCGAGTTTGTAATTCCATAAGTTTTCCATCAAATTTCTTACATTTGATTTCATTACTGTCGGGCAAAGATTATCATTTCATAAGAATTTTTTTTTTTTTTTTTTTTTTTTCTTTTTGGAAAATTCTTCAACACTGAGAACATGTTTGCGAGCAGGGATCTCAACAGTGAAAAGGCTAACTAAACAAATAAAACACATGGTCTGTCAGTTTATTCATTGTTTATTTCATTTATTTTATGTAGGTGTGCTAAACCCAAATGAATCATGCAGTGCCTTGGTAAATGGGAGGTAATCAGACTAACTCTAAGGAAAGGGTGGATAACTCCGATTGTTAGTTTATACACATATTTTTTTTTTCAACTATGTCCCACTGAGGAAAGTTGACCTAAAAAGACAAATGAAAGTTTTTCTTTTGAAAAATGAAAGTTTTTTTTAAATTTAGTAATTTGTACAGGAGATGGGAGTTACTAGCCCCTTTGTTAGTTTATATATGATGACAGAATAAATATTAGTGGAAAAGAATCCTCCATAAGCTATGCGAGTCCTTAACCCTTAAACTGTCCTAACGTAGATCTACGTTTGCGTGCGCTCTGACCTTGATTTTCTCCATAAGAAAGCATGTAAAAAAAATGTAGATCTACGTTCGGAGCGCTACGCAAGTGAATGTATATCTACGTTTGGACAGTTTAAGGGTTAAGAGGCGACCAAAATGACGAAAGCAAATGGCTAGCAACCCCTTCTCCTGTATTAATTACTAAATGTAAAAGTAAGAAGAACATTTGTTTTACTTTTTTTTATTTTTTTGGTCACCCTGCCTTAGTGGGAGACAGCTGATGTGTTAAAGAAAAGTATTAGCATTGCCATGATAGTTTTTGGGAGTGCCCCACTGAGATGTAAAACAGATTTAATCCTTGAGAACAAATTATCTGTCTTGACAGGAGTTCGGACGTTTGAGTGTGAGTGGTCATCATCTTAAGCAAGAGGGCTCACTATATTATGTAGTGCAAGATAAAACTCAAATAAGGAGGAGACATTTATCATCGCTGGTACCACCTCTTGCCATCAAAAACCAGTTTCTCATTGTCAGGTAAGCAATCCAGGCTAAAATAAAGTACAGGCGGGCCCTGCTTGTACAACAGGTCGGGTTTTGGGCTACTTCTCTAAAGGAGGGCGTCACTTCTACAGCAGGTTAAATTCTGGGCTACTGCTGCAAAGTGAAACTTTCAAATGCATATAAAAGCCTGATAACATGTTTACACTATCATATATTAAGTGAGCCTTAGGTAGTAGGTTGGCAGACATCGACCGCCCAGGGAGGTACCACCGTCTTGCCAAGTGAATGTAAAATGGAAGCTTGTAATTGTTTACATGATGGTAGGATTGCAGGCGTCCATTTTTCTGTCTCATAAACATGCAGGTTTCAGGTATGTCTTGCTACTTATACTTACACTTAGGTCACACTACATATACATGTACAAGCATGTATATACACACCCCTCTGGGTTTTCTTCCATTTTCTTAATAATAATTGTTCTTGTTAATTTCCTCTTATCTCCATGGGGAAATGGAACAGAATTCTTCCTCCGTAAGCCATGCGTGTTGTAAGAGGCGACTAAAATGCCAGGAGCAAGGGGCTAGTAATCCCTTCTCCTGTATAAGTATTAAATTTAAAAAGAGAAACTTTTGTTTTTCTTTTTGGGCCATCCTGCCTTGGTGGGATATGGCTGGTTTGTTGAAAGAAGAAGTATATTAAGTAAGGTTGGGTACACCCTTTACATCAATTACCATTTTCAGAACTAATAAGAAATATAATTTGGTGCATTAGTTCAAAGTTTAAATTAATTAGGGATTACTGTATTAATTTTTTCTAATTTTATTCTTGATGTATAACTGTAGCAGATATATATTGTGTTGGGTCCTACATATATTATAGATAAAATAACAGGCATACCTCACTAATACACACTCATCTGAGTTTTCTTTGATTTTATCTTAATAGTTCTTGTTCTTATTACTTTTCCTTTTATATCCATGGGGAAGTGGAATAAGAATCTTTCCTCCGTAAGCCATGCGTGTTGTAAAAGTCAACTAAAATGCCGGGAACAATGGGCTAGTAAACTCTTTTCCTGTAATGATTACTGAAAACAATAAGAAGAAAAATAACCGGATATTTTTATATAGCCAGACTTGAGTCCTGGAAATGGGAAGTACAATACCTGCACTTTAAAGGAGGGGTTTGGGATATTAGCAGTTGGGAGGGATATGTTGTGTATCTTTATATGTATATGCTTCTAAACTGTTGTGTTCTGAGCACCTCTGCAAAAACAGTGATTATGTGTGAGTGAGGTGAAAGTGTTGAATGATGATGAAAGTATTTTCTTTTTGGGGATTTTGTTTCTTTTTGGGTCACCCTGCCTCGGTGGGAGATGGCCGACTTGTTAAAAAAAAAAAGAAAGTCACTAATACTGTGGGTTAGGTTTCAGAGTGCCACCATAGGGTGAATATCATCTTAAAATGAATCACAGCATTTTTTCACTTGCCAGTGTATACAAAAGCCTAAAAGTATGTTTACACTATCATTTATTATCTGCAGAATAGCACTATGCCTAAAAAAGATGCAAAAGTAAAAATAATAAATAAATTTTGGAGGGAGAACTGCCAAACACTGTTTAAAGAGCAAGGTAAACACCAAAAGTAATGAACATAAATATGTAATTGAAAAGTACCATATAAGCAATATGCTCTAAAGCGAGCTCCGTATTAACGAGGTATGCCTGTAATATATTCGGTATAAGGTTAAGCAAGAACAGTTTGTCTATAAATGTACAAACAGCATTAAAAACTGTAGACATTTTATTTAATACTTCAACAGACCTCAGCCCCATGCTGACGACACTGCCCAGTTACGGCAGATGGATTTCGGTTGCCAGACCAGCAAAGTGAGTCTCTCTTCACCTGATGCTCTTTTAAGTCCTCCTAGCAGGCTTCAGGCTGCAAGAGTTTCATTTGATACTGAAAGTAAGTTATATTCTATGGCATTGTTACTTTGTCTATTTTTAATTTGTTGTATAACTTGGGCAGGACATTGACACATGAGGGAACACATTCACCATCATTCTCTCTTGCCAGAAGAATGCTGACATTGCATTTAATATGGCCCTCTGAACTGTAACATCCTCACCCCTCATTCAGCGTGCGGACACTGTACATCCCACCTCCAGAACTGCAAAATTCTTACCCCTCTTTCAAAGTGCAGATGCTGTACTTTCCACTTCCAGGACTGTACACCCCCTCCCCTCCTTCAGAATGCAGGCACTGTATTTCCCACCTCTAGGACCCAGCAAACAGTGTACAACTGGCAAGAAGATGCCTAATTCCATTTAAATTTATTACAGTTTCAATACAGTAACAGTGGAATTCAGCCAAAAATCACACTTGTAGATTTAACCTAGGATAACCTGATACATTCAGTCAGTGTGATTTATTTCCATGTTTTGAGGAATATTACACCTTGAAATAATTGTAACATCATAGTGTTAGAAGACCGGAGCAGAAAAACAAACTTAATACAGTGGAACCCCGCCTTATGATCAGCTTCCAATGCGACCAATTATGTAAGTGTATTTATGTAAGTGCTTTTGTACGTGTATTTTTGGGGGTCTGAAACGGACTAATCTAATTCACAATATTCCTTATGGGAACAAATTCGTTCGGTAACGGCACCTGAACATACTTCTGGAATGAAATTATATCGTAAGGCGGGGGTCCACTGTACAGTGGACCCTCGGGTATCGGCTGTAATCCATTCCATAAGGTCAGCCGATAACTGAAATGGCCGAAAACCGAATTAATATTTCCCATAAGAATTAATGTAAATACAATTAATCCGTTCTAGACAAAAATATTCACAAAAAAAAATAATTTTTTTAACAGTTATGTAAGTTTTACATACCTTTATTGAAGGCTAATTCTGACTTCTAGAAGACAGGGAAGAGGAAAGAGAGAGGAGTTAGTGTTTGGAAGGGGAATCCCCCTCCATAAAGACTTTACGTAGCAAAGCCTTCTCTGGGGTTACTTCCCTTCTTTGTCTTTTAATGCTACTAGGACCAGCTTGAGAGTCACTGAACCTCTGTCTCACAACAAATCTGTCCATAGAGATCTGTTTCTGGCATCTGTCTAAGATTTCCCTGAAGTGGGACAGGGTTTTGTTACTGAACATATTGCAGATATGGCTTGTTTCAGCTTGGTCAGGGTGGTGTTTACGAAAGCTTGCACCCTAGTCCACATTGCACACACCTCTTTAATCTGTCATTTATTGCAACAGTACATTCATTACTAGCCTTAAAATATTTGTAATCTTAATGTAGGGCAAGAGGTGAGTAGTATTTATTTGTAGGAAGTCAGTGTAGGTAGCGGTAGATGTAGGTACAGTACACGTATGTAGCCCCCCCCCCAACTACACTACACAGCTATATTATAATACATAGCCATATTATTACACTACACAGCCATATTATTACCATGTTCACTGAGTTTACTCGTTTCTAACAACTACCTTTAGATGCCATCATAAACAAAGAGATAAGTAATGAATAATTCATGCCAAGAATTGTAAACAAATGCATATGAAGGGCAGTTACTGCACCAGTCGCCAGATTCACAGTTTTCTCTAACGCTGCATCAGAGAAAATGTAATGTTTACTCTCCATCCCACTCTCCACTCAATAACATATAAACATTGCATGTTTATATGCTATGTTTATATGCTACATGATATGTAACGTGTTTCTTATATAATTTTGAAGAAAATATCATAGATGGATTAATGATAATGTCTATATTAATGTAAAATAAGACATCTAATGTGCCAAAGAGTGATTATTAACCCTTTCAGGGTCCAGAGGCCAAATTTCAGTGTGCACCAGTGTCAAAGAATTTTAAAAAAATAATTTTGTTATTTTTTCTTATGAAATGGTAGAGAACCTTTTTCTGAAGGTAATAAAACAAAAAGTACGAAATTTGATGGAAATTTGATGAAATAATGCTCTCGTGAATTTTGATGTGTCAGCGATATTTATGCATCTGCGATTTTGCCAACTTTGACTCCTATTTTAGACCAATTATATTATTCCAGTCGACCAAATTCTTAGCTATTTCACTAGTATTACTTCTATTCTATCGATTGAGCACAAGAAATCGCCAAGTTAACTGTTTCAACTACAAAATAAAGTGATCAGAAATTGGTAATTTGGCCAATTTAATGCAAAGTTCAAAATATTCTAATTTCAAAATAGGGTCCAGAATAAACAATGCAGGCATTCCTGGAACTAAACTAACATTTCCTCTGTTCATTAGTTACATTTTGAGGCTTTACAAATGAATTCCATTTTGATTTTTTATACACATAATGAATTTTTATTTAAACTAAAAAATAGAAGATTTACTGTTATGCAGTACTGTAATAATTGTATAAATAATATCACCACATTTGTGAACATATATTAGACCCACCAGCTGGCGTGTATGAGACATGTGGGATCATTTGTTTACTCTTGAACATCGGCAAAAATTTAACATTTCTATTTTGAGCTCAGTTTCAACCCATTTCCATTACTAAAACCAATCAAAATCATCTCTATTTCTGTAATATATCTTCCATTCTATCAAATGAGACCAAGAAATTGCAAATATAACTATAAAAAACATACGAAAAAATACTGCAAAGTCGTTGTTTTAATCGAAAATTACTTTTTCAGTTTTTTCTCTCATTATGCACTGTGTGCTGCAGGATTTGTTTTATGTGGTGCACACATACCACATAGATGTATTCTCTCATATCTAGGCCCAAATTTACCGCTCTTAGTTTATCAGAGTGAGCTGAGCTCATGGCGTAGATCTACGGTTTGGACCCTCAACGTATAGCTGTAGATCTACGGCACGGACCCTGAAAGGGTTAAATATACATCGCATATAATAAACATTGCATGTTTATATGCTATGTAACGTGTTTCTTACATAATTTTGAAGAAAATATCATAGATGGATTAATGAAAATGTCTGTATTAACGTAAAATAAGACATTTAATGTGGCAAAGAGCGATTATTAAATATACATTGCATATAATAAACATTGCATGTTTATATGCTATATAACATGTTTCTTACAAAATTTTGAAGAAGATATAATAGATGGATTAATGAAATGAGCAGAAGCTTCCTCACTCGCCCAGAGACAAAGCCAAACTGAATCGCAAGCGGCCCCAGCTGGTGGATGGATACCTCCCAAATGACTGATAACCGAATTAACGGCCGATAACCGGGCGCCGAAAAACTGGCCGATAACCGAGTTGGCCGATAACTGAACCAGCCGTTAAGCGGGAGTCCACTGTATTGTGTAGTTCAAACTGTTATGGCCAAAAATCTGCTGGAAAGCATTTGGCTTCTATTACCTTCACATTACACTGTGTATGTGTGTATTCACCTAGTTGTGGTTGCAGGGGTCAAGTCTCAGCTCCTGGCCCCTGCCTCTTCACTAGCCGCTACTCAGTCACTCTACCCTCTCCGTGAGCTTTATCATACCTCTCCTTTAAACTATGTATAGATCCTGCCTCTACTACATCACTTCTCAGACTATTCCACTTCCTGACAACTATGTGACTGAAGAAATACTTCCTGACATCCCTGTGGTTCATCTGAGTCCCCATCTGTGACCCCTTGTTGCTGTGCCCCATCTCTGGAATATCCTGTCTCTGTCCACCTTGTCTATTCCTCTCAGTATTTTATATGTTGTTATCATATCCCCCATCTCTTCTGTCTTCCAGTGTCGTCAGGTTGATTTCCCTTAACCTCTCCCCGTAGGACATGCCACTTAGCTCAGGGACTAGTCTTGTTGGAAACCTTTGCACTTTCTCTAGTTTCCTTACATACTTGGCTAGGTGAGGGTTCCAAACTGGCACTGCATACTCCAGTATAGGCCTAATGTACACAGGTACAGGGTCCTGAATGACTCCTTATTAAGATGTCGGAATGCTGTTGCCAATCACCCGTATGCTGCCGCAGTTATTTGGTTGATGTGCACCTCAGGAGATGTGCCCAGTGTTATATGAGATCACCCCAAGATACTTTTCCTTGAGTGAGATTTGTAGTCTCTGGCCCCCTAGACTGTACTCCGTCTGTGGTCATCTTTGCCCCTCCCCAGTCTTCATGACTTTGCACTTGGTGGGGTTGAACTCCAGGAGCTAGTTGCAGGACCAGTCCTGCAGCCTGTCCAGAACCCTCTGTAGTTCTGCCTGGGCCTCCTTTGATTGAATTCTTCTCATCAACTTCACATCATCTGCAAACAGGGACACTTCGGAGTTTATTCTTTCCGTCATTTCATTCACAAATATACAAGAAACAGTACCAGTCTTAGGACTGACACCTGTGGCACCCCACTCATTACAGGTGCCCACTCTGGCACCTCATCAAGTACCATGACTCGCTGTTGTCTTCCTGACAGGTATTCCCTGATCCATTGTAGTTCCTTTCCTGAAATCCCTGCTTGGTCCTCCAGCTTTTGCACTAATCTCTTGTGTGGAACTGTATCAAACGCCTTCTTACAGTCCAAGAAAACGCAATCTCCCCACCCCTCTCTCTCTTGTCTTATTGCCGTCACCCTGTCATAGAACTCCAATAGGTTTGTGACAGGATTTCCCATCCCTGAAACCATGCTGGCTGTCATTGATAAGTTTATTCCTTTCTAGTGCTCCACCACTCTTCTCCTGATAATCCTCACCATGACCATGCATACTTTACATGTCAGTGACACTTGTCTGTAATTTAATGCTTCGTGTCTATCTCCTTTTTTAAAAATTGGGGCTACATTTGCTGTCTTCCATACTTCATGTAATCGCCCTGTTTTGATAGATGTGTTGAAGATTGTTGTTAGTGGTACACATAGTGCCTCTGCTCCCTCTCTCAGGACCCATGGAGAGATATTATCTGGTCCCATTGCCTTTGAGATATCAAGCTCGCTGAGC